GTCCTATCCTAACAAACCATACATCAATGGAAAGCTTATTTATTCAGCTTTCAGATGATGTATAAATAAAAAAAGTAACCCTTATGACTGGTTTTGTGATCCAGGGTCACATATAAAATGGGTTGCAAACAGCATTTCATGTTGACTTTAAAAAGCTTATTGAAATTATGTGTGAAACATGGACAAGTTTAAAGACTTAAAAAAAAGATAGGACACTGATGCTTATATTTAGACTAAGCTTAACCACCAAAGCTACTGTTACCTCTAATGAAAGGTGTCTATCTACAGCGGCGGCTGCGTTTACTAATGTCCGCCTGTTAAAAGGTGCATGTAGGCGTCATGGCCAGACTTTACAGTTCTATATAGGTTTTACGATCTCCCTGGTATTTAGTTTTACAGACCACTGCCACACCAGCTGTGAGTTACAGACACAGTTAGTGAGATGAAAGACGGGAGGCAGAGACATGTCAACCAGAAGCACTCTTTACTGGTTTTGTTTCAGATGGTGTTGCTGTAGATGGAGATGGTTTGGACTCTGTCAGGATCACTGGCTGGAAGGTTCGGCGTGTGATGGTTTTAACCACCTTGGTCACCTACAGTGGAAGTATGTTAGTTCAGGTGGCACAAGTTGGAAAAGTATACAATAATATGGAAATGTCAAGTCTTCTAACAGAAATGAAAGGGAAACTGTTAAATGAAAGCCTGTTTAAAAAGTAGGACGTTTCCCATGAAGCCTTGTTAACAGTCCAGAACAGTCCAAAACACAAACGGAGCCAGAGAATTAATTTTTTATATGAATTATCTGGCTAAACAAGAAAACATAAGAATGCCTTTGAGACAAGGTATTATTTTTATTGTCTCATTTTGTTCCTCACAAAAGAGTAATTCCAGCATTTAATAGAAAATTCCTCTAGCAGGAGGAAGCTGGATGATTTCCAAGAGAAGAAAACACAGAAGCAGAGAAAGAAACTAATTATTTAATCTGAGCCTTCTACACATAAGCTGTTTAACTTTTCAACTAAAGGAATTCTCAAAAATGTATTTATTTATAATATTTGGCTGCTAATTTTATTAGACACAATTTTAAGTAACTTTTGAGCATTACATTAGTACAGTACATAAGTCAGTCTGTGATGTTTCTATTTAAATCACTGTATGTTGCTAACTAACCATTTATACACAGTTAAAGAAATCTTAACATTATGTATAAAACAATTTCGCTATTCTAAAATAAGCTTTTATACCAACGGATGTCCGCTGAAAATAAAGTCTGCAAAATGATGGCTTCGTAAGCAGTATACTGCATATCTATAGGCACATCCATGTTTGAACATCCCGTCTACTAAGGTGCCTTCATCAAATCATTTTTTGTTCTGCATGCACAGGATTATGGGATACGTCTATGCTGCCTACAACATCCCACAATCCTGTGCATGCAGTTCAAATGTTGGTGTAAAAAAATGGCTTCTGATGAAGTGACTGAATGAAGTAAATTAATTCATCAATATCCATTTTTTTCTATTAATAAATGAGCAGTGTAGCCATAATATTTCCTTGGTTATCTCTGCCGCTCACCTGAATTTGATCAAGATCATTAGATATAATGTTATGGTGCCATTTTCTTTAAAAAGTACATTGATGCTGACTGTGAATATAAAGGTACTTTGGTTTCAAATACATCCAGAGTGTAACAGAACGCATAGATTTTATCCTACACACCCAGAGCTCTGAGGTTGGAGTTGATGTATTTATGTGACTATAAGCTTGTCTCCGATATCAGTCCAAACACACTAACATGTGACAGAAGGACCCACACATGTGCGCACACATGCACTTCACACTCTGTGATGTTATTCCTTAGGTGTGTTTCATAGGTTTGTCAATGTGTGAGTGGTCTAATGGTAAGAAACAGTGCAGCAGTAAGATCATACCTTACCCTTCACTTCCTCCCACTATGCATCAACTGTCAGTTGCGTTACACTGTAGAACAGAGCTCTTTCTATGTGCACATTGGTTAATGCTTGTGCATGCATAAAGCTGTTTGTTTTTGTGTGTGCACTGATATGAATTGTACAATTTACATAATTCCTTTCACATAAGTTTACATGTCCTTTGCAGAATGTGTAAGATGTTTTTAAAAAAAATAAGAGAGATCTTTTTTGGGGATTTGTACTGCCTCAGAAGCAGCACAACAGATACTTAAAGATTAGGGCTGCACGATTAATCGCATGCGATATTTAACGCGCATCTTGTCAGAAAGCCGGTTCTGTAATCAGCGG